CGAGACGTCCCGCGCCAAATGTTTCACGCATTGCTCGTATCACTCGCCCCATCGCACTTCATTTTTCCTACATTCCTCGTGTCACTCGTAGGAAGAAAATAAGATTCTTGAACTAATTTCTTTTTCTTACGAGTGATACGAGTCATATGTCACAAAAGGAGTAATGGGACGAGTGCTTCGAACAATGCGTGAAAAAAAACATATGCGCGAAACGCCTCCACGGGGGGGCCCGGGGCCGTTGGGGAGGCGCTAGACATAACAACATGCAGCCGCTTTGGCCTTTGATTTTCGTAGTGATTGAGATGACTCCTCCCCCGCCCTCCCCTCGAGCATTTCCCCGTGTACCTCTTCCTATACTTTTGCGCCCCAATCAATTCGAGGGCAACCGCGTGCCGGGCAACGCACCCACAGGCATCGGAACAAATTAGCGAACACTCATGCCTCATTCATCCGTCAACGCCTCCTCCTCCACCCAATGTTCAGAGTTGGCGGTGGGTCCGACGAGATGCACTTCGACCGCAGTGCCCCCCGCGCGTGCCGACATTGAGTTTGGGGGGGAGGGGGGGTGTTCAGTAATTGTTCCCTTCTACCTTCTCATCTTCTAGTTTACCTTGTCATGTCCGAGTTGGCCGAGCGATTCTGCGGGTGACGATATGACTATAATATGTGTATAAATGTGTGTTTCGAAGTATATATATAACATATGTATGTATATAAATATATATGTAAGTGTATGTGTATGCTTGTGTGTATATATATGGGTGTGTATATGGACACGTGAATGTATTTGTATATGTTCATGTATGTATAGGTATATATGTATATATAACTGTTCATATACGGACATATGCAAATTATGTGTACATATACATAGAGAGGGACACATAACTCCCTATGTTCCACTGTTCTGGCGCCCGAGTCGTCCCGCGCCAAATTTTGAACGTATTACTCGTATCACTCGCCCCATCACACTCCAATGTTCGTGTATTACTCGTATCACCCGTGAAGGAAAATGATATTCTTGAACTATTTTCCTTTTCTTACGAGTGATACGAGTAATATGTAAAAAATGCGAAATAATGGGGCGAGTGCTACGAGCAATGCGTGAAAAATAAACATATGCGCGAAACGCCTCCGGGGGGGCCTGGGGCCCTTGGGGAAGCGCTACACATAACAACATGCGGCCGCTTTGGCCTTTGATTTTCGTAAATTTGAAATGACTCCCCCCACGGTCCTCCCCTCGAGCATTTCCCCGTGCACCGATTCCTGTACTTTTGCGCCCCAATCAATTTGAGGGCAACCTCGCGCCAGGCAACGCGCCCACAAGCCTCGGAACAAATTAGCGAACATTCATGCCTCATTCATCCGTCAACGCCTCCTCCTCACCCCAATGTTCAGAGTTGGCGGTGGGTCCGACGAGATGCACTTCGACCGCAGTGCCCCCCGCGCGTGCCGACATTGAGTTTGGGGGGGAGGGAGGGTGTTCAGTAATTGTTTCTCTCTACCGTCTCATTTTCTCGTTTGCCCTGTCATTTGCGAGTTGGCCGAGCGATTCTGCGGGTGAGGATGTTTGCGATACCATTACTTCATGTATATGTATATATGTATATGTATATATGTATATATATATATACATATATGTCAATGTAGATGTAGGTTTATGTATATATATATGTACATGTATACGTAAATGCAAATGTATGTGTTCATGTATTTGTATGTATAAATGTATATAATGCTTTATATGCGTATATACATACATTTGAAGAGAAACACGCAATATCTCCCCTTTTCCAATGTTCTGGCGCCCGAGTCGTCCCGCGCCAAATTTGTCACGTATTACTCGTATCGCTCGTCCCATCACACTTCACTTTTCCTTCTAGTATCACTCGCACTAAGAAAAAAAGGATTCTTGAACTATTTTCTTTTGCTTACGAGTGATACGAGTAATACATGCAAAATAAAGAGTAATGGGAAGAGTGCTACGAGCAATACGTATAAAAAATGCGCGGAACGCGTCCGGGGGAGACCCAGGGCCGTTGGGGAGGCGCTAGACATCACAACATGCCGCCGCTTTGGCCTTTGATTTTCGCAAAGATTGAAATGACTCCCCCCCGGTCCCCCCCTCGAGCATGTACCTCCTCCTGTATTGTTTGCGCCCCAATCACTTCGAGGGCAACCGCATGCTGGGCAACGCACCCACAGGCCTCGGAACAAATTAGCGAACACCCATGCCACATTCATCCGTCAACGCCTCCTCTTCCCCCCAATGTTCAGAATTGGCGGTGGGTCCGACGAGATGCACTTCGACCGCAGTGCCCCCCGCGCGTGCCAACATTGACTTTGGGGGGGAAGCGGGCGTTCAGTAATTGTTTCCCGATACCGTCTCATCGTCTTATTGACCCCGTCATCTGCGAGTTGGCCGGGCTATTCTGCGGGTGAGGATTTCTCCGGGACCATTATGAAATGTATGTGTATATATATATATGTATATATGTGTATATATATGTATATATATATATATGTATTTATATATATATATATATATATATATATATATGTATATATATACGCATGCAGGTATAGGTTTGTGTATATGTATGTATGTATGTATGTATGTATATATATATATATATGTATATGTATGTGTACATGTATATGTATATGTATAGGTATATGTAAATGTATATGAAAAAACATACGTTCATGCATTTATTTGTGGACATATATATATATGTATATTTACATTTGTTTATATGCACATAAAGCTGTGCATTTTTATATGTACGTGTATATATATGGAGAGAAAGACAGAGAGAGAGAGAGAGAGAGAAACACACACACACACACATATCCCCCCTTTTCCAATGTTCTTGCGCCCGAGTCGTCCCGCGCCAAATTTTCACGCATTACTCGTATCACTCGTCCGATCACACTACACGTTTCCTATCTTACTCGTATCACTCGTAGAAAGAAAGTAACATTATTGAGATATTTTTTTCTTACGAGTGAAACGAATAATATTCATTGGGATGACTCCTCCCCCGTCCTCCCCTCGAGCATTTCCCAATGCACCTCTTTCCGTATGTTTGCGCCCCAGTCAATTCGAGGGCAACCGCGTGCCGGGCAACGCACCCACAGGCCTCGAAACAAATTAACGAACACTCATGCCACATTCATCCGTCAACGCCTCCTCCTCCCGCCAATGTTCAGGGTTGGCGGTGGGTCCGACGAAATGCACTTCGACCGCAAGGCCCCCCGCGCGTGCCAACATTGAGTTGTTTTTGGGGGGGCGTCAGAAATGGTTCCCCGCGGCCGTCTTATCGTCTTCTTTCATACCCCGTCATTTGCGAGTTGGCCGAGCTATTCTGCGGGCGAGGATTTCTGCGAGACCATGATATATATATATATATGTATATATATATATATATATATATGCGTGTGACAATATATACATATATACATATACACATACATATACATACATATATATGTAGATATACATATATATATGTATATATATATGTATATGTGTATATATATATAGCTACTACCACTTCCCAGATGCCAGGACGATGTATTTCTTATGGGGGCGAGCGCGGGAAGGCGAGGCCACGGCAACCGGGGGCTACACAAAGAGAGCTGATCCAGGCGAACGCCGCGCACCTGCATGGATACTTTCAAGAGCCACCTGAGACACTGTGCAATCGAGAGAGGGCAAGGGAGGAGAGGGAGGGGAGGCTAGAGCGAGATGGCCACAGATGTCCACCGAGTGCGGCAACTTTGCCGTGGGACGCAGCATACACTTGTTAGGAGGATCAGCTATTGCCACTTCCCAGATGCCAGGACGATGTGAATCTTATGGGGGCGAGCGCGGGAGGGCGAGGCCACGGCAACCGGAGGCTATACAAAGAGAGCTGATCCCAGCGAACGCCGCACACCTGCAAGGATACTTTCAGGAGCCACCCGAATCCCGCAGAGCAGCCCTGGCCACGACAGGTGGCAGAAAAACGAACTAAGCACGTATATGCCGTCAGAAGCCTTAAAATTTCACAACGCTTTGCACTGACAGCACCTGAGCACAGGGCAAGCTATATCATCTCGAGAGTTGCACTCATCATCCAAACTTCCTTGAGAGCATTGGCAAAGTGTATGAAGGCGAGGGCAGCGGCGCGGGCAAACAGAGGCGAGTACGCAGCGGCCAACTCGGCGCGGCGGGCTGGTGCATCCTTATCCCGACCCTGGAGGAAGAGGCGAGGCAGGCCGCTGGAGGAGCAGATGCCACCTTTGCCGGTGCACGGTTCACATAAGCTGGGGAATGCGCTTGCGTTCCAGCAGGCGACCGACGAGGGCTTCTGAAAAGGCGTGCCGAACTGGCGCACGTCCAACTTGAGGACAGAGCACGATGAATGAGAGAGCACATAGACCATTCCAGGAGCAAGCCACAGAAGAGACCCACGAAGGTTTTGTAAGAAGACCGGGCAGCCGATCTGGATACAGAGCCAGATGAGCCGGCAGGAAAAGTGGGACGAGCGATTGCCCAGGCGGAGGCGGTGCGGGCGAGCTCCCCCCAGCCCCGGCTTGCCTATAGCACGCGGCCTCGAGCGCAACAGCCCCCTCAGCGCCTGCGACCAAGAAGCGCGGGGCGTGCCGAGCCACGGGCCCACGATGGCCTTGTTCAGCAGCCAGCCTCGCACAACTGACTCGAACATGGAACTGAGATGGCCCTCCTCGGCCCCCTGGGCGAAGTCCCCGCCCAGGCAGCCGTGGCCCACGGCGCGACATCGCTGGGAGATGAAACCGCATCCTGCGAGCAGCTCAAGGAACAGGCAGCTCCTCCACTCGTCTGCGGCCGCCCGGGCGCGACGATATCGCCGGCGCAGATGCCGCTTCGCGGCGTCCAACCACGCGGTCAGCGCCGGCACGCCCGCGCGGCGGCGAGGGCCCTGGGCCCTGCCGGCGGGCGGGGGCGGAGGGCTGCCGGCGCGGATGGCCAGCTCATGCGGGCCACCTCGGCAGCCTTCCGGAGGAGGCAGGTCTCCTCGCCGCACCGTCGCAGAGAGGCCAGGGGGGTCCAGCGGCCGCGCCGCGTGACGGGCCCCACGGCCCTCGCGCCCGACGGCCAGTCCCAGCTGGCCACCCACTGTTGGGGCGAGTACGAGTAGGGCTGCAGGTGCGACAGGCCTTGGGCGCGGCACGCATCCACGAAGAGCTGGGCAATCAACGAGGGCTGGGAGTCCCCGAGGGGGCCGTCCCGCGCCACGATCCTCAGCGCCTCCAGGGCGGGCGCGACGCGAGCCACTTGCCTGATGCCGTTCCTCACCGTCCTGCCCATGGGGCGGTCGGGGGCGATGCACTTCTGGCAGACGGTCGCCATGCGGGCGATCGCGGTGGCTGGCTTCCCGGACCCGCAGATCGTGAACGTCGGCCGTGTCAGCGTGGCCTTGCCCACCTCCACCGCCACCGCCGCCGCCGGCTGCGCGGGCAACTTCTACATCCTCGGCCACGACCCGCCGTTGGCCACGCAGCGCCGGGATGACACGCCCGCCGTCCGGGGGGTTTGGGGCCTCACGGTCCATGAGGAGACGGGCGCCTCCACGGACGCCGTCCTGGTGGGGCTGGAGCTCAGACGGGGCCGCGGGCTGTCGGTCAAGCGTCGCAACCCGCGGCGGTTGCGCGCGGCGCTTGACACGGTGCTGCGCCGGGGTTGCTACCCAAGCAAGATGCTGGAGGTCCTGGTCGGCCATATCACCTGGGCCTGCCTGTCACGCCGGGATTTGTTGCGTGTGCTGAGCGCCGTGCACCCGTACCTCGCGGCCGGCCTTCCCACGACGTCCCGGATGTGGGGATCTGTGCGCGTGGAGCTCGGTCTGGTGGTTCTGGCTGGTCCGTGGCACGACATCGTCTGGGTGAGCGACGCCTCCGAGCTCGGAGTCGGCGTGGCCGCGCGGCCTGTGCAGCCAAGCGCAGCGGCGCAGCATGACCGCCAGTGCGAGCGTTGGCGGTGCCAGGTACATGGTGCCGAGAGGGCGCGTGAAAGAGTCCTCCAACCTCGCCCCCTGCCATCCTCCGCATCATGTTCAGCTTCGCTGCCTGCGGGACTGCGCGGCCTGGACATCGCGGGGCTCGAGTCCTTCATCAGGGTGTACTCTCGGGAGTTCCTGGAGGTCCCCCGGGAGTTCTTCGACGGGGCTGGCTGGTTTTCCTGTTATCGCCTCGAGGGTCGGCGTGCCCGACAACATCTTAGCCCTGGAGGGGGGCGCGTGCATCTTGGGTATCAAGCACATCTTGAGGTCTAGGGCTGATATAGGGAAATATATCTTATTGTTCGTCGACAAAATGCTGTTAGCCCTGGGGTGTTGCAAAGGAAGGGCTGCGTCTGTTCATCTCCGTCTACACTTCGTAATCTATATTGTATGGCCTTGTGTTCAAACTGTGCGATTCACATTCGCTGGATTTGCAGCGAGTTCAAGCCTGCCGACCCCCTGTCTCGTGGCCGTCTTTGCTGGTTCACAGGGCCCTACCGACGCCGAACGACCGCCGCGTCGTGTGCGCCGGGGCCTGAGCCCGATGCCGGGACCTGCGGCCGCTCGGCGCCAGGCGGGCCGCCAGCGCCGGGCCGCGGCTGCCCGCCAAGTGGCGGCGGCGCGGGGGTCCTCCGGCTGCCTGTCGGTGCTGGGGCGGACGGCGGTCAGGGCGGTCTCGGACCGCTTCTACCAAGTTTACCTCCTGGCCTTCCTCCAGTTCTGCCTCGTGATGACGACCGACTGGGCGAGCGAGGCCGACATGGACCTGTCCCTGACCACGCACCTGTACTCCACGTACTCCGAGGGTCGCGCCCCGAACGAGGGCTCGGGCCCTCGGGCTGCGCTTGCACACTGCACGCCGACGCTGTTCCAAGGGGCCGCGCGGGCTCTGCCGCGGGCGATCCGCTGCCGGGCGGGCGGGCGCCGTCGGGCGCCGACCAGGATGCGCTGGCCGCTGCCGCGCGGGGCTGCCTGCGCCCTCGCGGGGGCGAGGGCGGCGCGGGGCCAGCCGCGCATCTGCCTGTTCGTCAGGGCGTTGTTCGTGGCCTACCTCCGCCCGCAGGGGGCGCTCTGGCTGGCGGGGCGGCACCTTGCGCCGCCGTTGGCCCACTCGGGCCAAGCCCCGACCCCGCGGGGGCGGCTGCTGCACGACTCGGACCTCCAGTTGCCCGAGAAGACCAACCTGAGGGGCGTGGGCGCGCTCCTGGGCGGCCAAGGAGGACGGCAGCATCGGCAAAGCGAAGTAGTCCTCAAGGCCCGACATGGGCCGGAGGCGGCAGAAGGCATTGTCGAGGTCGCCGCTTGCCACGTAAAGCGGCTGGCCGCCCGACTCCACCGAAGACGCAGCAGCCGCCGTTGGCGTACCTCGTGTCGAACACGCTGCGAAGTCTTCCAGACTTCTTCCTCGCGGAAAATACTCATGCGCTTGTCAGTGGGGACACACTTGCCATGCAAAACTGGGCCCCGCGCCAACCGAGGGCCAACAGAGAGTCCCCGAGGACAAGCATGCCGAGCTCCCTGCAGCGCCTCGCCAGGCGCCTCGAGCAAATTACGCCGCCAATCCCGTGCCCAGTCGGCGTCTTCCTGAGGGAGGCAGCCCAGAAGGTCGGTAGGGCTGGCACCCACCTCAAGCCAAGAGACCAGCTCCTTGGAGCACGGGACCCGGGCTCCGCCGTCGTAAGAGTCGACCGCGGAGCCACTGAGAAGCTCGCGGAGGGCTTCATCACAAAAACCTGGCTCGCTCGGCGTCGCGCGCATGCCCAGGTAGCAGTCCCCCAAAAGCTTCAAGCTGGTCTGCTGTCCCAGGTTGTCGGGCGCCGACGGAGCATCGCCAGAGTGGCCGTGCAAGCGGTTGAGCGCATCCACGCCACGGTCAGCCCATTGCCACAGCACACCATAGCGGCGGAACCGCTGGCGGACGGCGCGGCAGGGGCGGCGGCCAGCAGCGCGAACAGCACGTCGGGCCACGTGAGGCAAAGGAAAAAGATCCCGATGACGATGGTCACCAGTGGCGGCGAACTCGCCGCAAAAAACGGGCCTGGTGCTCGAGCTTCGCCGCAGCAGGTGGCCCTACGTCCCGCTGCGCGCTCTCCTTCACCCCCTTCGACTTGTCCTTGTCCTTGCGCCCTTGCCGCCCTCCTTGTCCTCGTTTTTCGGGACGAGGGTAAACGGGCGCTCCCCCTTCACCTGAAGCCTCTCCTTTGCCGCGGCGTACTCCTTGGACAACTCGCCGCTGACGTGGGCCAGCAGCTGGGGGCGCGCGCACACGCCGCCACGGTTCGACGCCGCGCCGTAGAAGAGATGCGAGCCCAGAGACTCGTCGGCCGACAGGGCGAACCGCCCGCGTCACCTTTCCTCCTGGAACGGGATGCCGCAGCAGATCATCTCCGCCGACGTAATGTCCGGGTCGTTCAACTGATCGTAGCATACCATCTGCTCCACGTAGGCGCGGCACCGTTCACGCTCTGCCAAGCCCCCGTCAGAGAGGGGGAGGTGGACCTCTGACCTCCACTTGTCAAGGCGCCCGAAGGGCGACAAGCCGTTGTCCTTCCTGAACTGGCAGACCCACCGCGTCGCACGGGGGCCGGAGAACGGCCACGCAGGCCACTGCGGGCACACCATGCGGGCTCCGACGACGCCGAAGCCCACGCCCATGGAGCCGAGGGTGTAGTACACCACCGCCTGCCCGCTCGGGTCGGCGGGGCCCCCGGGCGCCACGGCGGCCGCGGCCGCCCCAAGCGGCGGCGCTGCGAGCGCCAGCGCGGGCACGGGCGCTGGGGCTGGCGCCGGCGGGCCGCCCGGCGGCGCCGCCGCAGCGGGCGAGGGCGGCAGGGGCGCTCCGGGCGCGGCCGCGGGCCCGCGGAGGGCCGCGACCAGCCCGAACGCGCACGCCGCAGGAGCGGCGGCGGGGCCCACGAGGGGGGGCGCAGGCCCGACGGGCGCACCGGCGGCCGGCACCCTCAGCACTCGCCCAGCTGCATTGGCCACGACCGGCCCAGGGGGAGCGGGGATGCCCAAGCGACCGGCCGTGGCGGCTGCGGCAATCAGGATCGTCGTCGGCGTCGGCATGCTGCGGAACCTGTGGCAGCGAGCCCAGGGAGCACACCGCATCGTCTCGCCGGCGGAACCCCCAGGGAAAATGTCCCGCCTCAGCACGCCCATCGGGGCCACGTACTTCTCCTCGTACTCGTCGACGTCCCACGGATGTATGCTCGCCACGCCTGGCCGCCCAGGCGGCACCAGAACCATGAGGAGCTCGTGGATCAGGGCGGCGCCGCCTCCTACACTGTACTGCCCGCCGACGAAGTACCCAGGCTGGACGCCAGAGGCCGCCACAGAGGCGCGCCGGCCAGTGCAGCTGCAGCGCGCAGGTGCACACGGGACAACGCGGCGCCCCTTGCTGGCCGCGGGGAGCGCCAGACGAGTGCTCAGCCCACTGCCCACCTATGGGACCAGCGCGCCAGCCGCCGCGCAGGCGGCGGTGAGGATGCGGGCGGAGTTCGCTCGAGGCTAGAGCGAGATGGCCACAAATGTCCACCAAGTGTGGCAACTTCGCCGTGGGACGCAGCATACACGTGTTAAAATGAGCCTATAATATATATATATATATAATACAAAATACATAAATACATATATGCATGTATATATATATGTATATATATGTGTATATGTTTATGTATACACATATATATAGGTGTATATGTATATGTGTATATGTATATGTTCATGCATGTATATGTAGATAGGGATACATAAGTATGCTTAAAATCGCATATATATGTATATACAGAGACACACACACACATATATCTCCCCTTTTCCAATGTTCTGGCGCCCGGGTCGTCCCGCGCCAAATCTGTCACGTATTATTCGTATCACTCGTCCCATCACACTTCATTTTTCTTATGTTACTCGTACCACTCGGAGAAAGAAAATAATATGATTGAAATATTTTCTTTTTCTTACGAGTGACCCGAGTAATATGCGAAACATAAGGAGTAATGGGACGAGTGGTACGAGCATAATGAAAAACAAATGCGCGAAACGCCTCCGGGGGGGACCCGGGGCCGTTGGGGAGGCGCTAGACATAACCACATGATGCCGCTTTGTATTTGATGTTCGTAGTGATTGAGATGACTCCTCCCCGGTCCTCCCCTCGAGCAGTTCCCCGTGTACCTCTTCCTGTACTTTTGCGCCCCAATCAATTCGAGGGCAACCGCGTGTCGGGCAACGCACCCACAGGCCTCGAAACAAATTAGCGAACACTCATGCCACATTCATCCGTCAACGCCCCCTCCCCCCCCCAATGTTCAGAGTTGGCGGTGGGTCCGACGAAATGCACTTCGACCGCAATGCCCCCCGCGCGTGCCAACATTGAGTTTGGGGGGGAGGGGGGGTGCTTCCCTTTACCGTTCCATCTTCTAGTTTACCCCGTCATTTGCGAGTTGGCCGAGCCATTCTGCGGGTGAGGGTTTCTTCGAGCCCATTATGATATGTATATATTGAGATATATGTGCATATATGTAGAAATATATCCACATGTCGGTATATGATTGTATATATGTAAATGTTTATGTGTACGTATCTGAGTATGCATATGTACATGTCCATGCATGTATATGTTCATGTGTAGAGATCTGACTGTTTACACCTATATATATATACACAATGTTATACGAACATAGAAAGAGAAACACATATCTCCTCTTTTCCAATGTTCTGGCGCCCGAGTCGTCCCGCGCCAAAGTTTTCACGTAGTTCACGTATCAATCGTCCCATCACACTTCCTTTTTCCTAAATTACTCGTATGACTCGTAGAACGAAAGTAACATGATTGAGCTTTTCTTTCTCTTAAGAGTGATCCGAGTAATATGCGAAACATAAGGAGTAATGGGACGAGTGATGCAAGCTGTACGTGAGAAAACAAATGCGCGAATCGCCTCCGGTGGGGGACCCGGGGCCGTTGGGGAGGCGCTAGACATAACCACCTTCTGCCGCTTTGTCTTTGATTTTCGTGACTCCTCCCCGGTCCTCCCCTCGAGCAGTTCCCCGTGTACCTCTTCCTGTACTTTTGCGCCCCAATCAATTCGAGGGCAACCGCGTGCCGGGCAACGCACCCACAGGCCTCGAAACAAATTAGCGAACACTCATGCCACATTCATCCGTCAACGCCTCCTCCCCCCCCCAATGTTCAGAATTGGCGGTGGGTCCGACGAGATGCACTTCGACCGCAGTGCCCCCCGCGCGTGCCAACATTGAATTTGTGGGGGAGGGGGGGGATTCAGTATTTTTTTCCCTCTACCGTCTCATCTTCTAGTTTACCCCGTCATTTGCAAGTTGGCCGAGCTATTCTGCGGGTGAGGATTTCTGCGATACCATTATGATATGTGTGTATATACATATATATATATATATATGTGTGTGTGTGTGTTTATAAGTATATATAGTTGAGTTGTAAAGCTGGGCATACGTTTATATGTATATGTATATGTATATATGTAACTGTATATGTGTGTGTACCAGCTCCTGTATTTATCTGTATAGACGTAAAGATATACCAGTATTTGTACATATATACACATAATACATACACATATATACAGATATATAGAGAGAGACACACAGATCTCCCCGTTTCCAATGTTCTGGCGCCCGAGTCGTCCCGCGCCAAATTTGTCACGTATTACTCGTATCGCTCATCCCATCGCACTTCATCTTTCCTATATTGCTCGTATCACTCGTAGGAAGAAAATGCGACTCTTGAACTATTTTCTTTTTCATACGAGTGATACGAGTAATATGTGAAACATAAGGAGTAATGGGACGAGTGATACGAGCAATCCGTGAAAGATGAACAAATGCGCGAAACGCCTCCGGGGGGACCTGGGGCCGTTGGGGAGGCGCTAGACATAACGAACAACATGCAGCCGCTTCCGCCTTCGAATTTCGTAATGATTGAGATGACTCCTCCCCGGTACTCCCCTCGAGCATTTCCCCGTGTACCTCTTCCTGTACTTTTGCGCCCCAGTCAATTCGAGGGCAACCGCGTGCCAGGCAACGCACCCACAGGCCTCGGAACAAGTTAGCGAACACTCATGCCACATTCATCCGTCAACGCCTCCTCCGCCCGCCATATGTTCAGAGTTGGCGGTGGGTCCGACGAGATGCACTTCGACCGCAGTGCCCCCCGCGCGTGCCAACATTGAGTTTGTGGGGGAGGGGGAGGATTCAGTAATTGTTTCCCTCT